AAACAGAGATACAGTAAACAGTAAACAGAGATACAGTCAACAGTAAACAGAGATACAGTAAACAGAGATAGAGATACAGTATACAGAGATACAGTAAACAGAGATACTGTAGGAGCTATTTTGAGTTTAGTTTAACCTAAATTGTTGTGCTATTGGAGCACTGGTATGTTTTGTTAGATTTAGGATCCTTTATTTTGAAGGGACTCTTATTTTGACAGTTGGTGAGAATGTTTGAATATAAAGATGGCCGCCTCTCACCTTTTCAAACACAAGAAAAAGAACAAGGAAGCTGTTGGAACGTATAGGCATACAGTTCTTTACTTTGCTATCGAAACGCTTTTGAATCATTATTGAACACTACTTGGACATTAGTTTTGACATTAAGTTGTGCCTTTTAAACACCATTCTTCAATCACTTACCAATCGTTTGTTGGATTACTGGAGTCCATGCTTTGTCTGCTACTATCAACCTACTTACCTGCCCGCTGCCTGCCTTGCTCTGCTTACCAACCTACTTACCTATCTGCTGGAATTCCATCTCATTCATTACAAAAAGGTACAATTCAAGTTTCTCTGCGTTGGATAGTTTGTCAAAGAAGTTAACCAATACGTCCCAGCTAAGAGTGGTCCGCCAACACATCAGTAAAGAACTTTGCAATCGTTTACGCTGCTTCACAATCGAATTGTTTGGAACCTGGAAGCATTTTTTTGACTGTTATTGAAGCGTAAAAGTTTTGGATCTTTGAGAATTCACCTATTCAAGTTCACTATTGGAGTGCATTTTTTTGTTTGATACTGGATTTGCTACTGGAGCAGACCATGATTTTTGTTCATGCACATTTAAGCTTAAATGAAGCCAGATGAGAATGAACTGAGTTGAAGATAACTGTGCTGTTTACATTTTTGAAAAGAAAAAAGAAAAGAGAATTTTAATTTTTTTGTGGTTCTCAAACAATCTAAAATATGGCTGATGGCAAAATTAAAGAGCTTTGCGCAACGCTCAGAGGAAAACTTGGCGTGTGTACACGTAAAATGAATGAATTAAAGGAATTATTAAAAGGTGGAGATATTGAAGCCATTGACACAGGCATTGAACAGCTCCATGTGGCATTGGATGAATTTAAAGATGTGCATCAATCTGTGCAAGTGCTGCAGGAGGAAGAGGAAAAGAAAAGTGACAATGATGATTGGTACCAACCAAAGATGCAAACTTTTGAAACGTTTTTGAATGAGGTAGAAATGTGGAAGAGTGCTCAAAGCCATGAACCCCAAACTGTGGTATCTCCTCTGGACAGTATATCTATTGTGGCAGCACGTGCAGGTAAAGTAAAATATTCACGTTCTGGTGGCAGTGTTTCCTCAAAATCTTCGTCAGTGTCTTCCGCACGTTTAATAGCTGAAGCTGAAAAGGCAGCTCTATTGCAACGTACTGAAGGACTGAAGAAAAAACAAGCCTTGGAAATGGAAAGAATTAAAGTGCAAAATGCAATGGAAAGAGTTGAACTTGAAACAGAGTTGGCTGCAGCTAATGCAAAGGTGCAAGTGTTACAGAACATTGATTCTGAATCTATGAACTCTAGACTCAAATCGGCAGAAGTTTCAGAATTGCCAGGAGATGGGATGAATGCGTATCTGGAGAGCAAATATGACAGAATTAAGGAGCATGTTTATCCAGAAGCCTCACCAGTGGAATATACCAGAATCTCTGCTGTTCCCAAAACACCATTGCAAAAGGTTTTAACACAGGATACGAGACCGCGGAGGTTACAAAGGCCTGTCCAGACCTTACAACTGAATCCGACCAGTCAAGCAGCTGCAGGTACCTCCTTTCCACATGCGCCTTTAAGCTCAGATACCAGCAACCTGGGTGCTGTTGCTGATCTTATTGCACAGCAACACAAAATGACTTTACTTCCAACTAAGCACCTACCCATGTTTAACGGTGAACCTCTGAACTTCAGACCATTTATGCAGGCATTCGAACACTGTATTGAGAAAAACACCAGCAATAGCGAAGGCAAACTGTATTACCTTGAACAATACACCTCTGGCCAACCTAAGGAGCTGGTCAGAAGTTGTCTTCATGTGGATGCAGATAGAGGGTATGCAGAGGCAAAACGCCTATTGGAACTTCATTTTGGAGATGAGTTTAAAATTACTAATGCTTATATGGATAAAGCCTTAAATTGGAATAATATCCCATCAGACAATGGAGAAGCTCTGTACAGTTATGCTCTTTTCCTCCGTGGATGCTGTAATGTAATGCGTACCTTAAGGTACATGGATGAGCTGAACCTTCCATTAAACCTGAGGCTTCTAATCTCCAAGGTGCCGTACAAAGTGAAAGAAAAATGGAGATCACATGCTTTTGACATCAGGGAACGAACAGGAGCAAGAGCCGAGTTTGCCGATCTTGTCGTCTTCCTGGAAAGGCAGGCCAGGATTTTACAAGACCCAGTTTTTGGTAACCTCCAAGACGGCTCCTCAAACAGAAGATCAA